CTTTCTTAATTAAGGTAATAAGATTGTGTCACCATTTCTCAGTAGAATTTCTTCAAATTTTGTAGTTATATTGCTTTAAAGTAAAGAAAATTTTCTGCCACAAAAAAAATATAGGTTGTCAGAATTTTAAGGATTTTAAATTGAAATTTATGTAAAAGGAGTGATTTTTGAAAAAAAAATGAAAGACACAATATTTTTACAAAATAATGTCAATAAAAATGATACTGACATATATTAGTATTGCATTAATGTATATCAATCTAATAAATGCTGAAGTTGTGTAAAATTAATTCTCTAAAGACAATATAAAAATTGACATTTTATAATAAAACCACATACACATTGTAATTGCAGGTAAGAGTTATCGTTCTTGAAAAACGTCACAGTAGTGAAATAGGTAGCCGGGTTCCTGAAGTACCGAAAAATGGACACTCATTGATAAAAAAAACCATAAATTAATGCCTGGATTGCTTTGAAATACTTTAATATTGAGAGAACACACTGTTCTGTCAATACTAAACATACAATATTCATCAGTTTAATATTAAACATTAGAATTTGCAGGAATTGTGATACTGTCTCCCTACATTGGATTTTTAACTAGGATATACTTCTTGTTTCCGTTTATCAATACACTCCAATGACCTTAAGCATATGTTCAAGATATATCCAAGTTTCATCAATATTCTGTGCAACTTTCTTCTGCTAGAAAGCTTTTTCATTTCAACAAATTTTATTGACAAAGTTAATACAAGTCAATTGGATGGAATAACAGGCAAAGCCTATATAAATTCTCTCCAGCGGTGGCTAAATTAACGGATTCTATTATTTTTATTTGATTTAATTAATACATCAATTTTGAAATGAAAATTATAAAAAAAAAATATTAAAGGGATGTAACTCCTTCTTAATTAACATAACTGAAATACAAATACATTCACACTTCTCACATCACACACAAAACACTTCCACAGGTATTATTTATTTTTATAACATTTTACAATTGTATATGAGCTATATAGCTATCAAATCACACAGATATTGGCAGACATTGACCAAAAGTCCATGTGCAAATATATGCACAGGTCACAGTCGCCAAAACTGTTAAGTTCTTATAGTTTTATATGAAAATATATAGCTAGTCTATGTGTAATTCAATGTATAAGATGGAAACTGTAAAACAAGACAGATTGAACAAATCTTACAACAAACAACAACAAACAAACATGCTCAACTTAAAACTCCTATGTCCGTAGAAGAATACCATTTATAGAAAAGTAGGTAAAGTTACTTATTTGTGGAGTATAATTGAAATAGGAATAGTAAAGTATAAAAGTATAAAGTATAAGGTCATGGCTGGTTAGATCATATAGAGATTAAAACGCCTAGATTTACCAATAAATAACTGTACATCATTAAGTAACTGTCTGTTTGTTAGTCCATCACAATCAGGACAGCCTTGTAGAAAAATGTTTGTATCAATATGGTTATGATTTCCATAATTATCAACAGAAGTAAATAAAGTAAGTCTGAGATCATTATACAATGGACATTCAAGAAAGTAATGGAAAACTGTTTCATATTCAAAAGAGCAAGCACAAGAGGGACAGTCAGTTAAATGGTCATTGAATAAATCAAAATTTAAATTGCTACATAAGTTTCTAAGTTGACAAAGAATAATGTTGGCCCGTCTATCACCTTCAGTTTTAAAAATTAAGGTTGATTCATTATCGATAATAATATCTTTATTTAGTTTGTGTTTAAAGGTTGCAAGAGTTGGGGAGTTTAAGAGATCATTATCAGTAGTGTTAGTTGTGCGGCACATTAGAGGGAGGAAACTGTCAAAATAATTGTTAGTTCTGCATATTGGTGGATTAAACAGTCTTGTTTGTCTGAGGAAATAGGGATTATTGTTTTGATTGTTAATGAAAGGATTTAAGACATCTTGTAAGTATTGAGGTGACAGCCCATGCATTATTTTATACATCATTATGTGTTTGTGTTTATTTCTTCTTGTTGACAGAGTTTCCCAACCAAGTTCATTATAAAGTTTATTATGAGATGTTCCAGATCGATGTCCAGTAATGATTCTGGCTGCTTCTAATTGAATAGATTCTAGAAGTTCTTTAGATTGTTGAGTGCAATTATCCCATACTATGTCTGCATATTCCAAAATTGGCCTAATAAATGCTATATACATTTTAATTAATGCTAGAAAGCTTTGAATTAAACTAGATGTATCTCACCAAAATTTCGCACATAAAACTCTTTTTTTTCTATTGTAAATTACCAGTTTATCTTTAATTTAAAATTTGATTCACAAATATAACTTGCATAACATACGCCTAGAAAAGTCAATCTACAATAAATTGACTGGAATTAGAAGAGAGGAAGAGAGATTCATGACGAAAGCAATGATAATATATCAGTAAATGAAAAAACAAATCAATAAAAAAGAAGAGAAAAAATGCAAAATGAGGAGAGAGAAAGTTTACTGATTATAGTAGGAAGGTAAAGCTCTTTGCAAAAACTCTTGTGACAATATATGTAGTGCTTCATATTTAGAATTATGACATTCTCTGCCCTGTTTGTTTTTACATATATTAAAAGTCACATTACAAGTAGTTTGGATCCAAATTTGGAAAGCAAGAATTAAATTTTGTAACATTCCCATAGTACATGCTGAATAGTTTCTTTTTCTATGAATCAAAAATTACATGTATCAGACTGAACCAAATCAAAAAAAGTTATTTGTACATAAAATATGATGATTTATTCTCAATTACAGCCATTGTAGTTTTGAATTTGTATTAAGTGTCAAAAGGTAGTTTGTATATGTTCTTCCATTCCTCCACTTTATTTGACCTGTAGGCACTACACTATTTTTGTTCAGCACATTGTACATATATTTTGTACCTTTTTATGTTTGATATTCATATTAATATACAGTGGTATCAATGGTAGTGTAAGTCTGTTTTCAAAAGTCCAGCCTAATCTTCCTATTGTAAAAATGAGACCATTATAATCAATAAAGTTAGTATCTAAATTAAAGATTTCATTAAACTAATTTTGTTGAAGGAAACAGCTGCCATCTTTCTTAACTAGATCATTTATGAGCAACACCCCTTTATCAAACCATCGCTTATAATACACAGTATTATTGTCTATTTTCAATTCAAAATTTGTTATGAAATATATCTTTGATAATATAATTAATATATTCCTATTAATTTTTGTAAACAGTAGTGTCTGCAAATTTGAATTCTAAAGACAAATATTTCCGATCCATGTTGATTTCAGAGCCATTTCAAAATGTTTGATATTAATCATTTTCAATCGGTGAATGGAATCCTAGCTACAGAGGTCATCTACCAGCAAACTTGTAATCCTTGTTAAAACAATGTATAGAGTATATTTAATGGAAAGCACTCGTGAAAATATCGGTATATTCTGCTATACTCATGATTATGGTATTTAAAAGGAAAAACATAAAATGTTCTTTTGATTACATTTGAAAACAAAAGAAGCAAAAAAATTGTTGCAAAATCAAAAAGTGCAGGAATTAGCCTGATATTTGAGACCAGATTATTATGACGTCACACTTAACACAAAGCTTTGTGTTATTTTGAATGAGCTACCTTTTTTGGCTATTTTCTGGTAGGATTTGCTTACAAAACCATAAAAATGATGTAGGTGTGATAATTATGAGTGTATGAAGCAATTTTAGTGACGTCATCAATAAACAAGCATAGCGACGTCATAAACAATACCAGGACAAAGAAAACATCTACATACAATACATTATAAAAATCCTTGTGCATTCAATTGCAAGCTGGGTTTGAGGGCTTTTGTATAAAAAAAACTTTAAATTATCTTGCAACTACATCGTCGCTATTCAGTTTGTAAATATGTAACACATAAAAATAATCTTTAGAACATTGATGCATATGTTTGCTAACTTTTAAAAAATCTTCGTTCATTGTCCTTCATTTGTTGTCTATGTACATTCATTCGTATTCTCAGTTCACATCCGATCTGTCCGATATAAAGTTCACCACATTGTGTACATATTAAAGAGTAAATAACATTCTTATAATTACAGTTTTTGTCTGATCTAATTTCTATTTTTGAACCATTTGCAAAAGCGTAGTCTTTACATTCAATGATAATCTTACATGTACCACACCTTGGTTTCTTACATTTTGTTTACACCAATGACAACATTTGTGGTATTCATATCGAATTTTGATGTACATAGTAAACGTTTCAAGTTTTTAGGTTTTCTTTTAGTTTATAATCTTGTTCTTATCAAAAATACACTTCATGTTCTCACTGTTTTCCATAAAACTCACAAAATGTTAAACGACAGGAAACATATTACAATTATTTAGATTGTAAGTAGTAACAAATGGTATGATATCAGCATCTTTGGTGTTAGCTCTTTCTAAATTAACACTGACAGGGAGGGCCTTTCTCTTTAGCTCTTTGTATGGCGTTTAGTACCACTTCAGCAGGATAACGTTAGCTTTTAAGATAAAGTTTCAAATCGTCCAATCAATCTTCTAATATTTCTTTATCGCCAACAACCGTGACTAATTTCGATGCTAAACCATATGGAATGTTAAGCTTAGTGTGTTTAGCATGATTTGAAAAGAAATCACAATAATTGTGAGAATCTGTAGGTTTACAATATATATCGCTAACAATATTTTGTCCTTTAATTTCTACAAAAATAGATATAAATATAAAATTAGAAAATAGAAAAACAGATTTGCATAAAAAATATTGATGTACAAATATGAACAGACCAAAAGTTTGCATCAAAATAAATTCTCAAATGGAATGTACAACTATACAAATCAAAGTACCAAAGGCCATGACACATGTAAGGTCTTGAGATGGTTGTGTTTCTGACTGGAATCAACCCCCTGATTATTTGTACAGCACCACAAACCAATTGGACATATCTGCACAGCATTTTGTAAAATGGTAATGTTTTCTTAATATTGTTCATGCAACTCCTTAAAGATACTCATCCAATCAGACACGCTGTTATAAAGATGAGGTATAATAATATCATTTATTACTGTATACCAACTGCAGTTAGTGTGGGATTATTTTTCACTTAGAGGAATTTTACTGAGAGAGAGTTATTTGTGATCAGCTAAATACAATGTAATCAAATGATTTTTTCAGAGGTGTAAGGCTTTCATCATGTAGGTTAATATGATGCCAGTTTATGGAAGTTAGAAATACACAGCTTGAAAATGTGACCCAAGGTTATTCTTAATCTTGTTACGCGAGTGGTTTGAGATACTCTAGGTTATTAGCCAAATGAATATCTGTGGAGTTGTTGCTAGAGCTTTGATCACTTTCTGGTGGATCTGCTATGATATAAACAGCTGCTGACAAAGTGAACTCATGTTTAGTATCCGTCATTGGATCACCACGATCTTCCTCCCAGCCACCATCAGCATCAGTATTATAGCGCCATTTCTTTCGTTCTGGGTCATACGCTCTGACGACGTAGTGATCTTCACCTCCTGATCTATGAAATATCACACCAGCTAGTTTGTATTTCAATGTTGAACCTCCTTTCCTAAAACATACATAATTGAAGTTATTTCTTAAACAGGATAATTGTTATACCATTTAATTTTTCAAACCAAATAATCTTTTGAAATTACATATTGTACAAGAGGCCCGAGGCCCAGAGGGCCTCTATCGCTCACTTGAATATGTTTAAAATAATTGGTATGAAGTAAAGATATAGCACTCCATGGTAGGTGCTGTAAGTACATATGACATTTCAGAAAGATCCATCCAGTACTTGAGATATAGCGAGAACAAACTTCAAACAGAGCCCCACCCCTATGCCCCTAGGGGGGTCATATCCACCAATTATACAAAATTGAGACCCCTTGGTCCAAGGATGCTTCAGGCTAAATAAGGATAAAATCCTTTAATACCGATGGTTGGAGAAGGATTTTAAAGGTTTTACTTCTATGTCCCTATTGGGCCCCGCTTCTCTGCCTCCAGGGGGGTTAGACACACCATTTATACAAAATTGGTTCCCCTTCACCCAATGATGCTTCATACCAAATTTGGACAAAATCCTGTAATTCGTACAGAAGAAGAAGGTATTTGAAGAATTTGCTATGTTTCCCCTATTGGGCTCCTCCCTTCTGCCCCCGGGGGGGGGGCCACACTCGCTGTTTATACAAAATTGAGTCCCTTTTGCTCAAGGATGCTCCAGACTATATTAGGATAAAATCCCTTAATCCCTATGGTAGAAGAAGGATTATAAAGGTTTTACTTCTGTTTCCCCTATTGGGCCCCGCCCCTCAGGTCCCAGGGGGGCCACATCCACCGTTTATACAAAATTGGTTCCCCTTCACCCAAGAATGCTTCAGACCAAATATGGAACAAATCCTTTCACTCCTATAGAAGAAGAAGGATATTAAAGAATTTGCTATATTTCCCCTACTGGGCCTCGCCCCTCAGCCCCCAGGTGTGCCAGACCCACCGTTTATACAAAATTGGTTCCCCTTCACCAAAGGATGCTCCACACCAAATATTGACCAAATCCTCTCATTCCTACAGAAGAAGAAGGTTTTTAAAGAATAATTTGCTATGTTTCCCCTATTGGGCCCCATCCCTCAGCCCCCAGGGGGGCCACACCCACAATTTAAACAAAATTGAGTCCCCTTGGCCCAAGGATGGTCCAGACAAAATTAGGATAAAATCCCTTAATCCCTACGGTAGAAGAAGGATTTTCAAGGTTTTACCTCTATTTCCCCTATTGGGCCCCGCCCCTCTGCCCCCAGGGGGGCCACACCCACCGTTTATACAAAATTAGGTCCCCTTGGCCTAAGGATACTTCAGACCAAATTTAGTCAAAATCTACTTGGCTGTTCAGGACTAGTAGCGTTTTAAAGGAAAAGTTGACGGAAGGACGGACGGACGGACGACAGACACTGCGGTATGGCAAAAACTCACCAGGTGAGCTAAAAAAGCAATTTAGATTACTTAAAAGCAACATGTTTGTTCTGTTCTGATATAAACTCAGCGGTCTTGTCAAGCAGTCTTGTAGAGATACTATATAGACTGGGCGATACCGAATTGCCGTACGACAACGGCTTGGCTATGACCATCCAATAACATTGCACTTGCTGTACCTCTCTGAACTTGAGTTACAGGTAACATGTTATTCAATGGCAAATGGCAAAATGAAAATATTTGTATGGAAAACTGATGCGATTATAATCAAAATCTCTTGTAGAATGATTTTTTTTACGAAAAATCCCGCTTAGCTTAGCGCAGTTATCAAAGCCACACAAGGTATCTGTCATGCTTGACTGTTTTAGCCCTGTGTACCCACAAAGGAGCTCAATGAATGTTACCCAAACAAAACGTTACAATCTTTCTTTACATGACTATATATAAACATCATGATCATATTAAAAGATTTAAACATATGACGCCTGTGACCTCGAATGTCAAACAAGGACATTAGGTTGAACAGAGTTTATAGTCTTCCAACCCAGCATGCTTCTGGCAAAATATCCTTACCCTGGACCTTTTGGTTATACATAACAAATCATTTAAAGATTTAAACATATATTGACCACTGTGACCTTGAATATGGGTGAAGGTCATTCACTTGGTAGTCTTTCATCCCAGCATGTTAATGGCCAAATATATTCACCCTTGGCCTTTTGCTTAATAAGAAGTTGTTTAAAGCTTTTTGACATATTTGACCCCCGTGACCTTGAAAGTGGGTCAAGGTCATTCATTTGAACAAATGAAGTAGCCCTTCATTCCAGCATGCTACAAGCCCAATATCAGTACCCTGTGCCTTTTGGTTATTGAGAAGAAGTTGTATGAAGATTTTAAGACATTTGACCCCTGTGACCTTGAAAGTGGGGCAAGTTCATTCATTTGAACAAACTTGTTAGCCCTTTACCCCAGCATGCTACAGGCCCAATATCAGTACCCTGGGCCTTGGGTTATTGAGAAGAAGTTTTTCAAAGTAAAATATCAGCCGGCCGGACGCCACACCACAGCATAACCTCACTTGGCACTTCGGGCCAGGTGAGCTAAAAATCATACAAACTTCAGCAATATTCCTATGTGAGGTTTAAAACTGATTTTTTTTCAAATAATAATGTAACTTGCCCCTTGTAGTCCAGCGTGAGTGGTAATTGTGATGATTTCTCTGTTACGCCATACAGATAGAATAGCAGCAAAGGAGGTGTTTCCGAGAGACTGTATGGTGGAGGTCTACCACTGTAAAGACAATGATCATGATTTTATAAATAAACAATGATGCAATTATCAATGAGTTTAAATGGTTATACTTGTAAAACAGCAAAGCGAAAAAAAAATTAAATACAGTAAAAGAAATAATAAATCTGAAAGTAATATTCTGAGACAATATTGTTAAAAGTTAACTTATACATATTGTTTCGTATAATTATTACTAAATATTTAGGGGGGAAGACATAGAAAATATGATCTCAGTAATGTTCTGAGTTCTGACCCTGAAATTTGGTAATTGAAAAGAAATCCTTTAGCTGTTCATACTCTGAACAATATTGCTTCATATAATTACTACCAACCATTTACCATTGAAAAGCTATGAATTATGACCTCAGTAATAGTATTCAATTAAAGTTTACCCTGAATGTTTTGTTATATCAAGTTATGAAAATACTTCATATTATACAATAAAAGACTAAGAAAGTGCAAACGTCGTAGTTGACTCCGTTTTTGAGATATTGTGATTTATCTGAAAACAAGAGATCCCAGAGGGATCTTGGCGCCCACCATTGTACCATCTTCATTCGTTCTTTGACAGTTCGATCTTTTCTCTTCTTTCCTCTAATCTGTTTGATCGAGTCATGTTAACAGTAAATGCACCTTGAGAAACTTATGATCTAAACTTAATACTGATGTGTATGAAAGCCAACCTTCAAAGTGAGTTTGTCATTTCACATATTTACTAGTACAGTACTTAATGAGAAAGAAATAGAATCGATCGTTGCAATATGAGAAAGATCTGTTTAGTTCTTCCTTTAGCCAATTTGTTTTTATGATCAGTCTCAAAATATAACATGCACAACAAGGGAACAAGGGGAATCTACACATCAAATTTGAGAAAGATCCCTCAAGTTATTCCTGAGTAATAAATAGTACTAACAAACCTTCAATGTCAAAAATCAAAAATGGCTGTCGGTAGGCAATTTTGTTTAACTGATCAGTTTCAAAAGTAAACATGAACAATAAAGGATAGTGGGGAACCTGCACTGGCTGCCCCCCCCCCCCCCCCCCCATTTTTTGGGGGGCAAGTAAAAAATTGGAAGCCCAAATGACATATTGGTGGCCACAATAATTTTGGGAAGAAATATTTCCACAGCATTTAACACAATGCTTCAGCACATTTAAATTACATATATCATGACAATGTTTGTAATATGTAAAACAGAATAAAACATTATATTTTGCATTCTTCAACCCTAGTTAAAACCTGACATGATCCACTCCATTCAGGTCTTCCCAAAAAGAAATACACAAAACTCGCACCTCAAAGAAGACACCCTGGCAGTATTTATAATGAAAATCGGCAAAAAACATCATCACATTTCTAAATCATGGACAGTTCAATTCAAATCGAAGTAATGACAACTGAAAAATGTACTGCCCCCCCCCCAGTTAATGTGGAAGGGACTATAATTTCTTTTATTCATTATTTTTTTGACAGTCGCCCAAGCTATTTTTGTTAGGCCAGTGACTACCTCACTTTTGATAACTTTTGGTCTCTCGAGCAAGACTTTAACTTGTTCGAGCAGGCGACAAGGGACCAAGGGAAACCTTCATATCAAATTGAGAAAGATCCCTCTTGTACTTCCCGAAAAATAGCGATAACAAACTTTCACTATCAAAATCAAAGATGACAGCCTGTCGGCCATGTTGTTTATCCGATCAGTTTCAAAAATTGCCATGCACAGCTAAGTACCAAGGGAAACCTGCATATCAAATATGAGAAAGATCCCTTTGGTACTTCCCGAGAAATAGCGATAACAAACTTTCACTATCAAAATCCAATATGGCTGCCTGTCAGCCATGTTGTTTATCTGATCGGTCTCAAAAATTGCCATGCACAGCTAAGTACCAAGGGGAACCTAAATTTGAGAAAGATCCCTTATGTACTTTTCGAGAAATAGCGATAACAAACTTTCACAATCAAAATCCAAGATGGCTGCCTGTCAGCCATGTTGTGTATCCGATCAGTCTCAAAAGTTGCTCTGCACAGATAAGGACCAAGGGAAACCAACATATCAAATTTGAAAAAGATCCCTCTGGTACTTCACGAGAAATAGCAATAACAAACTTTCACAATCAAAATCCAAGATGGCTGCCTGTCGGCAATGTTGTTTATCTGATCAGTCTCAAAAATTGCCCTGCACAGCTAAGGACCAAGGGAAACCTACATATCAAATATGAGAAAGATCCCTTTCCTACTTATTGAGAAATAGCGATAACAAACTTTCACAATCAAAATCCAATATGGCTGCCTGTCGGCCATGATGTTTATCTGATCAGTCTCAAAAATTGCCCTGCACAGCTAAGTACCAAGGGGAACGTACATATTAAATTTGAGAAAGATCCCTTTGGCACTTCTTGGGAAAAAGTGATAACAAACTTTCACTATCAAAATCCAATATGGCAGCCTGTCGGCCATGTTGTTAATCCGATCAGTCTCAAAAGTATGCTAAATTCCAGCAAGACATGTTGTGTAAAGAGACACAAAAGTTTTCATGGAAAGCTTGTGAGGACCAGTATAAATTTAACCAGAAAACTTAAGCCAAAATGGTGGAAGTGGAACAAAGTGTTCTCAACGGCGGAGAGGAGGCGAGGTCAAAAATCTTAGAAGGTATTAATATGCTGGACTATAGACAAAAATTAGTATTATTGGCCAACACTTCTGAGTCGGGATGGAAGGCGGCCGAGGAGTATCAAGCTAATCCTATTGCTTCCGACTCCGAGGACGAGAAGCGGATAGACAGAGCCCGGGCTAACAGGAAGATGAAAGTTGCTATAAAGTCCAGAGGGAGAGGCAGGTCAACGTACGACAACTACCAGCAGAATGGTGCCAATCACCAACTGGAGGCTGGATACACAGCGGGACCGAGGGATGCTCCCAAGAGTTATAATTACAGACCAGGGACTTGTTACAAATGCGGGAGACCAGGGCACTGGCGCACAGAATGTCCGGAGAGGGCCGGTTTGGGACAGAGTGGTGGTGCTGTCGGCAACCTGTTAAGTATAAACTTGGTTTTCAGCATGTTGAGTCGGTTGTAGCAAACAAATCCCTAGCCGAGGTGCAAAAACAGGTGGTTTTGTCAGGTAATACCGGTGATGCGGGGGTAAAGGAAGCTGACAATGCTTTATCACCTGTCGGCAGGTTAAAAGGTAAGATGAATTACTGGGAGAAATCTGGGACTTGTGGTGCCGTTTTGACAATAATTTCCGAAGGTTATAAAATACCATTCAGAGAAATTCCCCCAGATGTATTTTTGATGAACAACAGGTCTGCGAGAGAGAACTTAAGTTTTGTGCAGACTGAAGTTGACAGGTTGGTAGCACTAGCATGTGTTTTAGAGTTGGATTGTCAACCTAATGTAATGTTAATCCACTTACGGTTAACGTTGCTTTCAGTAAGTCTGGAAAACCACGTCTAGTTTTGGATTTTTGACATATAAATGTATTCTTGCATAAGTTCAGATTTAAGTATGAAGACGCTAACATCGCAAGGGACCATTTCCAACAGGGCGATTTTGTGTTTACATTTGATTTAAAAGCTGTGCATCATCATATAGAAATCTTCCCGGATCATAGGAAATTTCTGGGTTTTCACATAATGGTCAGTGGTCGGTGTAGATTTTTTGTATTTAATGTGTTGCCTTTTGGCATTGCGACCGCGGGGTACGTGTTTACAAAGGTTTTAAGAGAGGTAGTCAAACACGTCCGGGGTCAGGGTCACAAGCTAATCATGTACCTAGATGATGGTATGGGTGGCCACTGTACTGATGAGGGAGCTAACAGTTTAAGCAGGTACGTACAGATGTGTTTGACCGATTTTGGTTTTTTGCTTGCACACGAGAAGTGGTCGATGTCGGAGGGCGTGGTCAGAGTGACCAATGAGCGGGTAGAACGCCTGCTGTTGTTGATGTCGCATACAATGGCTCTTGTCAGTGGGGGTCGGCTTCTATTCTCGGCTAGGTATATGGCAGGTATCATTGGTCAGGTCATCTCTATGCAGAGCATCGTGGGGTCACAAGCGACGTTACGCACACGTGAGTTATACAAATGTTTGTTAAGCCGAGCGAGCTGGAACGTGTGTGTTTTTGTTAGCGCCGTAGCTCTGAATGATATTGTGTATTGGTTGGAGAACCTGGAGGACCAGAACAGTAAGGGTTCTAGATTGACAGACAATGTCACATGTTCAGCTGTGGTCTGTACGGATGCTTCCGTTGGGTAGGGATATGTCGTGGGCAGTGTTGGTACTCTCTAGGGTAGAGACGACATAGACGAGGTATGTGCAGTGTAAAGTGTTCCCATGAATGGGTCACCCATCAGGGGTAGTGTGTTCAGATAAGTCGCACACACACGGTTGTAAAGGATCCCTGGGGGCGTGACACCCTTTGGAGTGTGCTAGAAGCGAAACGTTTACAAGAAGTATTTTATCCCCAGGTGTGGGACCCCCTTTGGAGGGGCCCAGAGATGAGACATGCACGAAATGTCGTGATGTCTCGCTTGGAGCGAGGTGTTTTTCGGAGGGGTCTAAATATATGAAGGTAAGTCCAGACACGTTCCCGAAGGAAGGGGATGGCAAAGTTTCTCAATGCCAAGGAGATTATCCCCAGGTGAAGGTCAGACTTCAGATGAGTGGTAGCTTCACAGAGGTTAAGACCGGGGCGTTTATCTCATCAGAGTCTATTAACTGTACCACACAGGGTTAGTTCGGGAATCTTCCAAGTGTAGACAATCTATACGAAAAGGGTTGTCAGGTAGTGTTAGGCACGTGGAACCAACATGAGAGTTCTAACAGTTCTACATGGAGGGAGATGGCAGCTGTTAAACAGGTATTGTATACAGCAAAAGACAGGATCAAAGGTGAGAAAGTTATGATATTGACGGACAGTAAAAATACATGTTCCATCATAAACGTAGGTAGTAGAAAGTCAGAATTACAGAGCATTGCTCGTAATTTATACGATTTTTGT